CCACCGACCCGACCGTCTGCGCACTCTCAACGTCGGCTTCGGCATGGGCATCGTGGATGAGGAGATCATGAAGCACGCACCAGACAGTCATGTCATCATCGAAGCCCACCCCCAGGTAAGCACGCGCACACGCCCACAATAGTTTGACCGTTGTAGGCGATGATGTAACCACTGCACTGAATTGCCAGATAAGCCAGCTGTCTCTGAAGTTTTCTGCGATGTTAGTTTGTGACCTAGAGATTATATTCTAGTTTGCCCAGCCCATTTGCGAAACCCCGCATCGTCTCAGAGGGTTGCAAATAATCAAGGTTGTTGGAATTCAACCTGCGAATATCTATATTTGTCTGTGCGTTTGTATTCGTTTTGTAAAAAAACTGGTATTTTGCTGTCCTTGTCCAGTGTTGTTTCGAAAACAAGAACCTTTGGTTAGTACTTTTTTTATAAAATCAGAATGCTTGATAAATTACGTAACAGATATCTTAGAGACACAGCAAAACTGCAAGAATTGAATTGACTGCCAGTTCTTTCTAGAAAAGAGAAATGGTCGCCGTCTGACCACAAACTATAATTGCGAACATGTGTGAACCTTGTTAATCCGTATTACGACACCAATTGAGTGTTTTTTATGCGCGAAGATTCGAGCATGTAAGTTCTCCACACTTGACACCGTGTGTAGGGATAATGCACTTTTGAGACACCGATTCATTCGTTTGTCTTAGTGTTATTTCCACCTCAACCTGTACGACATTAATACAAACATACTACTTACTTTATTTCAACAGACCTTATATTTACATTAAAGTTGGCTCCGGTGAACATTTTAAATGCAGTGAACATGTTCTACGCTGCTATCTCGCAACTGCCCCACCTTTTCAACCATTCATTTGTTGGAAAAAATATTTGATGCATTTTTGCATAACAAAGCGACCTGTAACATTTTTGCATATTCACTACATTTTTTGCATTCCTGTACCGTTTCCAATTGAGTTTTTAAGGGCTTCTGTCGTTTACTCCTAATATACTGACTGACATTACTCTAAAGCAGTTTGGTCTCCCTAACAGGTTACACTGCAGATGCGCTGAACTGAAATGGGGACCGCCGCACTCGTTTAGCGGGCTGCGCTGACTCCACCTGAGCTTTCAACCAACATCTTTCTTGGGGGGCGGTGTTGTGATACGTAGGCCGTCACGCGCCGTCAACTACTGCGCCCAATCCTATCGCCAACTGGCTAGCAGGCTCACACAGTCCATTGGTGTCTAGGAGAGAGAAAGAGAGGTAAGAGTGAGAGAATAAGATCCACACTGTCGAACCCATTCTCATGGCATATTCCTCACTAAAATAGATTAGATGCTCTTGAATCTCTAATAACGCGCTAAGAGCCATGGTTTGACCGATTAACGCTGTCGCAATGGATGTATTTTGGAGTGACGGAGGGGGGGGGAGACTAAACCTTGTTCTAAGTTCGACCTTCATGGCACTGTCACCTATATCGTCTTTTAGTTGCCCTTATAGAGGCCTGATACACTTAGCGGGAACGAGCTGATGTGTGGCACGTGTAGACTGACTTTTATTTCGCTCGCGTACACTTCCAGTCGCCTAGACATTGTATAACCATCACAGCAGGGTGGGTGCAGCG